TGTTTTTGTTTTTATTAATTATTAATTATATAAATCATAATTATATAGAAACATTAAATTGTGTTTATAAAAAAATGCGCAAACAGTTTTTCCATTATGTTTCTATTCTTTTCATTTTGTTGTTGTTTTGTTTGTTTTTTTTTTTGGATCTTTTCACGTTGCTGACTAACAGTAAATTATACGCCAATGTGGCAACGCTGTTTCTATATATATAGCTATGTATGTATATATATATATATATATATATATATAAATATATATATATATATTTATATTTATGCGTATATGAATATATGTGTATGTAAATATATATACGAATATACATATATTTATAGATTTACATATACATATATATTTAAATATGTATACTTACATTTATATATGCATATATATATATATATATATATATATATTCTTATGTGAGTGTGTATGTGTGTTTGATGACGCGTAATGCATGTGTATGAGAGGATCTCCTTAATACATGTGGCATGGCCAAACAGCTGCGCCGTCGCCTTTCCCACGCCTTTCACTGCTTAATTTTTGTTTTCCAAGCCCAGCGGCATGCGTTGCTGTTGTGATTGGCGTGAATTGATGTAGCCTCCGCTACCGTTGCCTGGTCCTCCACCGCCCGTGTTGCGTGAGCGATCACCCATGGGACGCCCGAAGGATCCATTGCCGTTGCGCTGATTGCCACCACGCTGGCTGCGATAGGAACCGCTGCCCGAGGAATCATAGCGTGACTCCTTATTATAAACACCGCCACCACCGTTCTGGTAGTAGTTACCACCACCGCCGCCACCACTGCCGCCGCCGCCACCACCGCTGCCGCCTCCACTCGACTCGTTATTGCGGAAATACACGCCGCTATTGCGTCCATTCTGCTGGGCCGAGGAGTTGCCATATTGTCGAGAGCGATAGTTACCGCCGCCGTTGCGACCACGGTCATCGCCGCCGCCACCGTTGCGACGCTGCTGATAGTTGCCAGAGTTGCGCCGCATCTGGTTGCCATTGTCCTGCTGCGAGTTCCAATGATTGTTGCCGCTGTCGTTCTCATTGACATAGCCACCGCGACCGCTGCTGTTGTCGCGCGGAGTTGCCCACTCCTGCTTGTTGCTGCTGCTGCTGTTGCTGCCATTTGAGGCGGCGCTGCTCATCGCATTCATTTCGCTGCTCCACTTGTTATTGCCGGACGTTGGAGTTGCCTGCTCGGCCAGCGCCGATGATTGGGTCTTCAGTACATTGGTCAATGCGGCTGTGGCAGCTGCATTGGTATCATTTACGCCTCCACGTCCATGCCACTCATTAGAATCTACATCATTGGCAGGCTGCTGTTGCAGCGGATGCTGCTGCTGCGGCTGTTGTTGCTGCTCCTCGATCTGTTGCTTCTGTGGCTGTGCCTTCAGTCCCAATTGCTGCTGCAGTTGCTGCTCGTAGCTGACAACTGCGGCGTCATATGGAAACACGGCAGTCACATCGCCTGGTTGCATGCCAATACCCTGAGGTGGCTGTGGAGCCGCCTGCTGCTGTTGTTGTTGTTGCTGTTGCTGCTGCTGTGTCGCCAAGCGTGCCATGATGAGCATCGGGGGCTGCTGCTGTTGTTGGCGCTGCTGCTCATGAATCAGAACAGGCGAGAAAAGTTGTTGCTGCTGCGGCTGCTGCTGCTGCTGTGGTGGTGGTGGTTGTGACGGCGGCTGCTGCGGCTGCTGCAAGGACGGGAAGGACTGATTGGTAAAGGTCAGGGTTGTAATGGTTTGCGGTTCATCTACATGATTCTGCTGTTGCTGTTGTTGTTCAAAGACTAAGCCTTGCACCTGCAGCTGTTGTGGTGGCGGTGCCTGTTGCTGCTGCTGTTGCTGTTGCTGCTGCTGCTGTGGCGGAAGCACTTCCGGAGCATCCAATTCGCTGTCCTGCAGAAAGTGGAAGCTGCCGGTGCCCAGTACCTCGGCCAGGGGACGCAACTGCTGCATAAACTGTTGCTGCTGCTGGGGCGTGGGCGCCTGCAGTGCAGCAGCTGCCTGCGGAGGCTGCAGCGGCGGCTGCTTGAAGTAATTATGCTCCACAGCGCGCACGGTCGTGGGTCCAAAGTGCTGTTGCTGTTGTTGCTGCTGCTGAGTAGGCACTGATGGCGCAGCGGCAACACCCGCCTGGGGCGGTTGCGACTGCGGCACACCGTGCAAGGCCTGGAGATTCACGGGGCTACTGAGCAACTGATGGGGATGCTGACCCGGCGGGGGCACATGCGTTGCCTGAGTCGCCGCTGATGCGTACATTATGTGCACTGGCGTTGTGTTGCTCGCCGGTGCAGCTGCAGCCGAAGTTACAGAGGCAGCATTGTACACGCCAGACTGCTGTTGCTGCTGCACCAGCAACTGTTGCTGCTGCTGCTGCTGCTGCGGATCGACAACGGGCGCACGCTGATGCTGCGGCTCAAGCAACAGATGTCCACGTTCCGGCTGTTGCAGTTCAGGCAGTACAGTTCCCGTCTCGGCAGTGGTCAGCTTGTCCAAGCCCTCTTCCAGCGAATTATGAGCCGAGGGTTCCGACATAGGCACATCGTGATCACCTGCAATGCCCGCCACATCATTGAGCAGAGTCTCGCCCTCACCACTAACTGTGCCGCTGTCTGTGCAGTTCCCCTGCGCACTCTGATCCGCCAGTGGAATCAAATAGTACTTGTCCAAATAGCCACAGTCCTGGATCTGTTGGAAGAGCGCACGCAGTTTCTCAAAAGTCGTATCGCCGTACGGCTTAGCTCGAGCATTGATGGTCATGGCAAAGAGTTCAGCTGCCTTTTGAGCGGTTGCCAGGAAACTGACATCCTCAGCAATCTCCGGTCGACGCGTTTGCACATCCATGCAGCTATATTACAGAGCATAAATTAAGGATTTCATGAATCACTAACTATATAGACATCATAAATTTTAAAATTATATCTATAATAGAATCAAATTAAAGGCTTTCACGAGTCACCAAATTTATATACTCTTTAAAATCACTCAAATAGATGACATTATCAATTGTAGTAGAGCATAAACTTGTTGAATTATTCTTTATAGTTTATAAAGAAAATTTTATATTAAAAATACTGATTGTTAGGCGAATTTTAATTTTATGAACTTACATATACATATGTACTGTCCCTATAAATATTTATATAATTTTTTATATATTTATATAAACAACTACTTACAACTTCTCAAGCACTTCCAAATCGGCAATCTCCAGCTTGCAGGCACCATTTTCTCCGGCCACGAAATCATTGCGCACCTGCTCATCGTTGAAGCAGCTGAGAACGTTTTGCATGACCAAGAGCTCGCGAATCTTGGCAATCTCTGCCAGCGATTTAGCCTGGTTATCCTAAACATACAATACATTCAATATGGTATTTAGATTTTATAATTGTGTTGCACTTTACATTTATTTCGTTCAATTTGAGATGACTCAACGTACCTTGCGAGCTTGTTTCTTCTGTTCCTTTTCGGCTTCCTTAAACATCTGCTGCGTTTGCTTGGAGAAGTCTCGAGCGAATTCAAGAGTTGCGAGGACTGAATCATATTTGGCCACGGCCGCTCCTTGGTCGGCGCTAAGTTCCTTGCCGCCAGCTTGGATGGCTCGGTACGACTCCAATTTGGTCTGTATGCGTGACAAGAGTATTGGCATGAGTCACGGTGCAAAACAAGAAACATTTGCTTCGTTTCATTTTCTCAATACTTGTTTTTATTTTATAAAACAAACAAATGCAAAACGAAACCAAAAGTAAGCGATTGCTCACATGCGGAACCGACGTTAGCAAAGTTACCAGATCAAGCGCCGGCGCGTTCTAACTGTTTATCATTATTTCTTTTTTTATTACATCAGCATACAATCCAAATACATATACCACTTAACGTAGGTGCGTATTATATTTATAACTTTTTTTTTTAATTAAACTAGTTAATTTTCACCCTCAGCAACAATAAAATGTTTTAGTTTATAGCAACTCTTATTGGTCTGGCAACTCTGCGAGATAGCAAACATGGCGTCGCGAAAAATCTGCGAGCACAAGGGGGAAACAGCACGACAAAAAAGCAACGAAACAAAGCGGCCCACAAACGAAAATAAAAATGGTGGGCAATGCCTTCAATGCCCGTATTTTTTTTTCTTCTATTTTGTACACTTACCTTACGCTTTTCCAAATTACGAATCTTGTGCTCAATGGTTACCAGAATTTGCTTCATCGGGTTGTACGGCTCGGTAGTCGCAGTAGCAGCACCAGCCGACGGTTTCAGCGCTTTGGCATTAACGTTAGTGTTGTTGTTGGTTAAATCAGTTTGGCTACTTCCGCTGCCTGGTGCTACTCCCGTTGCAGCAACAGACTTGGCACAGTCAGCAAGATTGGTATTGCTGCTGTGCTGTCCATTGCTTGCGTTACCATTGTTGCAGCCGCCACCACCCACGCCGCCGCCGACGACGCTGCTAGCACCGATGGAGCTGACCGAGGCGCGTTTCTCCTTGCTATTGTTGTTGGTGTTGGTTAATGTGGTAGCAGCCGAAGGCATTGTTTGCCGTGTGTTCTTCTGGTTGCTTACTACTTTTACAATAAATTAGGAATGAAATTGAAACTGCTGCCTTGTCCTGCCGTTCTTTTTGTTCTTCGAAAAACTTGGTGATGGCTAAAAATATATAGATATGTATCGATACATCGATAGCTAAAGTATCACTGTCCCACATACAATACGTCAAGCTAACTATTGCATGCTGCTATTTCCATTTGGGAAATCGCGTTTGACAGTAATCGAATATCTTAAATTTCTTCAATGGTCAACATGCACTTTCTGAACTGTTTGTTATAATTTCGATCAATCAATTGAAAATTATATCAAAGAAAGTGTTCAACTTGTTGAAATATGACATCCCATTTTAAAATATGCTTTTTTATCCAAGTATTGACATATTCTATATGTTACGATATTTCTACGTTGCGTGAACAAATCCGTCAAAAAGCTTTACTACTGATATTAATTTTTAGTGCCAGTAGACAAGACTTTTAACTCAAAAAATACGAAATGACTGCTAGATTAATGCATCATATTTTTAATACTTGTCCCGCTACTATCCGTTACTACTCGTCTGCTGTTAAAAGAGTAACTCTTATGCCTGGTGATGGCATTGGTCCCGAAATAACATCCTCTGTAATAAAGATCTTCTCTGCCGCCGGTGTACCCATCGAATGGGAGCCCGTTGATGTGAAGCCCGTGAATAAAGGAAATGGAAAATGCGGAATACCTCAGGAAGTTATAGATTCTGTCAACAAGACTAAGGTGGGCCTAAAAGGCCCGTTAGAGACGCCACTGTGCCATGGGCATGAATCGATTAATTTGGCCATGCGTAAGCATTTCCAATTGTTTGCCAATGTACGTCCCTGCCGCAGTGTGCCGGGCTATAAGACACCCTACGACGACGTTAATGTGGTCACCATTCGGGAGAATACGGAGGGCGAATATTCTGGCATTGAGCATGAGGTAGTGTGTGGAGTTGTGCAGAGCATAAAACTGATCACACAAAAGGCCTCCACCCGCATTGGAAAGTACGCCTTTGAATATGCCAAAGACAACAATCGCAAAAAGGTGACAGTCGTGCACAAGGCCAACATAATGCGGATGTCGGACGGCTTGTTCCTACGTTGCGTGCGAGACGTCTCAAATGAATATCCAGAAATCCAGTTCAATGAGTGTCATTTGGACACGGTTTGTCTCAGAATGGCTAATAGCCCCGATAATTTTGATGTCCTAGTCATGCCGAATTTATACGGCGATATTTTATCTGATATGTGCGCCGGTCTGATCGGTGGCCTTGGACTGACCCCATCCGGAAACATGGGCCTAAACGGTGCTCTGTTTGAATCGGTGCATGGAACCGCTCCAAATTTAGCTGGAAAGGATTTGGCCAATCCCACCGCCTTGCTGCTGTCCGCGGTCATGATGTTGCGCCACTTACAGCTGAAGGAATATGCGGATAAGATCGAGCAGGCTGTTCTCGCTACCATAAAAGAGGGTCGATGGATAACTGCAGATTTAGGTGGGCGAGCGAAATGTTCAGAGTTCACAAATGAAATTTGTGTTAAGCTTTAATGGAATTCTAAGGAATGTGTTTGTCGGCGCAACGTGGCCTTTTAGCAATTGCAATCAAAATTGCATGTGATTTATAATTCAGTTAAATTTTGCCATATACATATACATATATAACAAGTCAAACATTTTTGTATTTTTGTGTTACTTTTTATCTTTTCGTATCGCTTGTCTGCCTACGTTACATTCACTTTTTTTATGAATCATATTTATATGTAAGAGCTGCATTGATGTAACGTATATTTACATTTTAAGATTTTCGATAACATATGTTGTCGACTATTTCTAAATTGGCTCAATATGATATACATATCGATAGTTTACAATAACCGGTTAACCAATTTTTGAGCTCGATCAATTCTGTTTGGCGGTAGGTGGCGCTATATAACTCATTGCCCGCGTACCACAATACATGAGAACCAGTTCAAGGTTAAAAGTAATATTTTCATTTTGTTTATATTGTATAGATTTATTGGTAAGTTATATAGTTAAACAATCTAAAATGTTAAACTTTTCATTGTCCGTATATAAGGCAAGTTGTCCGTTGCGAAGATCGCTTACAATTCCGTTTTATCTGCCTCGTTCATATCATTCATATATATAAATGTTGTTTTCTTGTTTTAACATAAATGCTTTGCTTAAAGTTAAATCAGCTTAAGTACAATAAATGGTTAGATTATAACATTTTGATTTCAGTAATCGCAAACACAAGTTTTTGAACCAGGAAAGGCTTAAAGCCAATTGCCAGCCGCTCAACAAGATGGGCGATATGTTTTTTTTCTTTCTGTTTTTGATTTTCCGTTAGATCTTAAACAAATTAAATAATAAACTAACATGGACAGGAAAGGAAGAGGGAGAGAGAGAGCGAGATAGTGTTAGGAAAATTTGTGTACAGAAATATTGTTTAAACATAGGTACGATAGTACAATTACAATAATACATTATAATTTCTAATATTAATAAAGCGTAATTAAAAAGATTTCACTACAAAACCAAAGAAGATCGCATCATTACAATATACATACAAATTACAACAAACACATACATACATGCATACGTAAATATATATTTATATATATATATGCTAAGGCTCTCTTTTGTGTATAAATATTAAAAATATATGTATGTATATATATTTAGTTGATCCTTCCTACATTAAGAATATAAGAGTTGCATAAATCTTCCAGCGTATTGTTAAGTTTGCCCATCTAGCGCTGAAATAAACTCCACAGTTTGTAGCTGGAGACCCGCTTGGCCAACTGGGCTGCCGTGCTGCTAGGCGCCGTCGTCGTCGTCTCGGCGGACTGGGCGTTGCGACGGTTGTTGATTAGTTTGGAGCGCATCTGCTCATCGATCAGCTCCTGCATGTCCATTTGCCATTGCTCGAGTTGTTGCGACAACTCCACCTTCTGCTGAATGGACTCCAGCAGTTGACTGTTGGCCTGCATCAGCTCGACGCGCGTCTTGGCCAGCTCCACTTCGGCCTTGGTGCGACGCTCGTTCGCCGCATCGCGTTCCTTTTGCGCCTTGGTCAGCAGCTCATCACGATCGGTGTTGTCAACGAGATCGCCACGTGCCTGATCGCGCTCCTCTTTCACATTCTGCAACTCCACATCCGTCACTGTGACTTTGGCCTCCAGCTGCTGTATGAGCTGATGGCTGCGCTTGATCTCGTCCTCCTGCTCCAGCACTAGATTGCGTGTCTGGTCCAGCATTTTCTTAAAGTTGCCCGCATCCAAGTTGAGCAGCAATCGCGTCAGCTCATCCGACATGGCGGACAGCATGCCCTGTCGGAACTCAATGGCCATATGATCGCTGTCATTCCGCTCTGTGCTAGACATCGTGTTGTCCATCGACTCCAGATCCAGCGATATATCAGAATTGAGACCTGCATAGTTAAGAGAGATTCTATTGCTGAGCAAAGATGAATTCCGTAAGCAATTAAACTGGCATACCTGAATCATCATCGTGGCCCACTTTAAGCGAGTCCACAAGGGATTTCAGTTGTATATAAACAGAACGCGCCTCTACCCACATTTGGCTAGGCTTGCCCGATTCCGAGAAGCTGGCCTCGTCCTCATCGCACTCCATTTCGAATTGTAGACTTTTTTTGCCCGGCGTACTCGAGTTGGCGTCCTGAAGTAAATGGAAAAATCACACTAAATATGAATACAATTGATCATTTACTTTTTAAACTATTCGAACGGCCACTGGATATGAAATGTATATCGATATCTTACAATCATTTCCCAAAATTTAAATTTCTGTGCGATAACATAATGCGAGTCGCTAGAGGGCGACCCGTGTTCAGTGCTATCACTAACCATAGTGGTGCTATGTATGCGCTCAAATTTTTTAATATACTTCAAATTAGTCATATCAAATGGTAATTTAAATGGATATTTTGAAGTTTAAGTGTAGAGAGTAACTTACCGCGCCCAAGCGCTCGCTGAGCACATTATTCTCACGCTGGGAACGTTCCAATGCCTGTAAGGTGGTCTGTAAATATGTAATAATAGTTCAGTTTAGATTTAAGCAAGACAAGGCGAAGCACATTCATTATTTATAGATCGAAACTCTTAACTTATCATAATAACGAAAATTAAGTGCAAAAGAAAGTTGCTCGTTCATAGATAAGTTGAGCACTTGAGAAACTGCGCAGTTTGTTCTTTGCAGCGACATAAATAATCAGACAATTTGAAAATCACGATTTCTTTTTCTTTTAAATTTATAATGAAATAGACGTGATAACGAACAGATTGAGATTGCTTCTTGAGCTCACCTCTAATTTTGTTTCCTGCTCGCGGGCATGTCGTTCCAGCATATGAATGCGGTCCGAGGCCTCCTCCAGCGATGAGGTGAGACTCTCCTTCTCCTCCTGGGCGTGCTGCAGACGACGCTCCAGTTCCTGGCGTTTGCCTGTGGTGAGGTTTAGTTCGGTTTTGATGGACTCCAGGCTGTTGACATGTTCCTGCCAAAAGAATACGCTCAATCAATTTGAATTGAAGGTGTTTAGTCAATGGCTTACCTGAAGGCTGCTGTTCCTGTAGTGATATTGGTCCTTGAGCTCCTGAATCTGTGCGCTGAGCTTCATTTCGGTGGCATGTGCTTCCTGTATCTGCTCGGTCAAGCGTGTATTCTGGTGCTGCAGCTCATCGATGAGTATGGTCTTTTCCTTTTCCGCTTGCCTGATGGCCACATCCTGCGTCTGCAGCTTGTCCTTCAGCTCGTTGAGATCTGACTGCAGCTCGAGCACACGTTGATCGCTCTCATCTTCTGCTATGGCTAGCTTCTGGCGCAGCACATGCTTCTCCTGCTCAAGTTTCTGTAAGTGAACGGAGCAAAGCGATTGGAAAGTTAATTAAATGCCGAGATTTCAACTAATGTTTTGTTCTATGACTCGTCAGCAATTGCAACAAGCAACAACGAAAGTAAGTGAACTAAACAATGTGCACGTACGGAGCACAAAAAATAAAACACCAACGAATAACAAAGGCGACCGCAAGGTTAACACAGCTCGTCAGGTAATTGCACAGGTAACATTTGCATTTTTCACTCTTTTTTGCAGCTACAGCTGCAGCCGCAACAGCAGCAAGCAAAGAGCTACAAACCTTATCGAATGGCATCCTAAAACAAAACTTAATTATAATAATTGCCTCAACTACTTTTTGAAATGATTGAAGTGGGAAAAGCAAAACTATTCATTCAGTGCAGTATTTAAGAAATTGGTCCCATCAAAAATATATGTACATATGTAAAGACCTTTATATATATATTACTTTCGATGCAATCGCCTTGGTACCACTGTGCGCAGGAAAATCTTCAGCTCGCCATTAACAATGGCGCCTTGGCTCTTGACACCGTTGCAAGACAAGGTAGCCGCAAAATTCACATCATTCCACATTCAAATGCAATTGAATTTTCACTTCTTTTGCGGCGCATCTTATCCATTGGTTGAGCAAATTCGCCTTCAGCTACAGCTACAGTGCGGAATAGGTGTAGCTGAAGGCATCGCGGCTTTAACAAGCAATTATTTACTTTGAGTTGAGCCTGTAGTTCGTGGTTGAGCTCCGATAAATCTGCTTAGGCGATAACAATCACCCTCACCAGCTCAAACAGCCGGCACATTTCTAATGATGCATTAATCATCGATAAGCCAAGGACCACTTCTAACTAAGCTTAAAAGCTTTCGATTGTTCAATTTCAGTTTCAAATTCAATTACTCATAAATTATATTTGCATAATGGGCAAGTAATAGTGCTCTGCGTTCCGTAATTGCCAGGCGACGAATGGAGGGTTTAGCGTTTTTGGATCAAGGTTTGTGGCGACATTGAAAAATTGCATGCAAAAGTTTAATCAATATGTGAACCTTCAATTGTCATAGAATAAACGTAAACGAATATACCACCTAGCAAAATCGTTATTTATGTAAATTAATATATGTATATGTATGTGTGTTTCGCGATCGCATTGAAGAAGACGTACGTAAAAGTTTTATCTGCCAACTCCATGCGGAAAATGCGCTGCAAACACGTAAATTAAAAGCAAGCAATAAATATGAGAAGTCAACGCGGTTTGCCTATCAGCAAAAACCAAAAATAATCTTCGCAGCTAATAAAATGGAGCGACAAAATAGTAAATGAAAAGCTTTAAACAAAATTACCGGTAATTTGCATGAAATGCGACGATGCAGCCAAAAAAATAAACCACAAAAAAATTGCAGTAATTGTATTATTGTTACTGTTGTTGTTGCTGTTGGCTAAGAGGGCGACGCTCGGCTCGCGCCTAAGCACTGCGATTGCAGCAGAAAGAAGAAAACTGCAGCCAGACAATGGAAAACGTTGGTAACAAAATAAAGAAAAAAGAAAAAAAAACAACTACAAAACAAGCGGGCAAGCCACTGCACTGACAGTTGCCAGATAAATAAAACAATACAAAGTGAGAGAGAAGACGCAAAATACAAAGTATAAAAAAAAAAATAAAAATTATTGTACATACTTTCTCTGTTTCTATTTCACGCTCAATGAAATGTGTTGATGATGACTGCGACGATGCACAGTGGGGCCTTACGCAAAAAGAAGTCGCGGCAAATATCGATTTATATATCTGTCTATATACGTATATGTATTTGAATATATAATTTTATAGGATTTGAAAACGTATTTCCAGATATTGCATATATAAGATATTGGAATTTAAATAAAATGGATATATGTAGAAAAATTTGAACAAAAAATTGTATTTAAATCTTTAGAATAACTATTTAAATTACGAAGCGAAAAAGCCCAAAATATGCCCCACTGTGCGTTGGCTACAGCGTCGAAATCAGGCAACAACGGAAGTTGGCATCAGCTCAGCTAAGCCGCAGAAATGAGTTCACATTCGGCATAGTCAAAGCAAAAGTTTAAAAGAAAAATCAAATAAAATACGCAATAAAGATGAGCTGCAAATCTCGTTCAAATGTTGCCGGCCAGAGTTTTGTTTCGAGTTAATTTTATTACGTATTTTTGAATTTCTTATACACAGTCCGTACTAATTGCATTGCATGATCACCAAACGGTAGTTGTAATTTGTTTTGACGCCACACACACACACACGGGAGTTATTTCTGCGTGTTGTATTCAAATGCGACGTAATGTGACCCACTTTCCTGTGGTGCGGAGTGCTTATTTGGTTTTGCGAAAAATTGTAAATATTTGTGCAGCACAATTTGCAGCGCCTGTGGGCAGGAAATGTTCAAATGCAATTGACACAAATGCACGTATGCCCCTTGGCTGAGTCATCCATGCAACAAGTAAGGGGCCACAGCTTTTTATGCAAATTAGAAATTGCGTTAAAGCGCCGCACAATCAAGGAAACGCTTGAGCAAACATGGCGAATTAGAAGTGGGAGTGCGTTCGATATTAGAAGCATCGATAACAAGTAATTAATGCAAATAGTTTCCAAACAAGTATCGATTAGAGATAAGCCGCATTCATTGTTTATATCTGTTTTCAAATGCTTTAGCTAAAACGTCACTTTATAACATCACCAATTTGAATGACAAAGAATTTTGCTGACTGTTAGCTTGATATTGAAAGCTGATGTGGCTGCGGCTGCGGCTGCAGCAACTACAGCCGATAATTACTGTAAATAATTAGTTAAGCAGCGGCACGCCAGTCATTTTACAGCAGTGCCTCAAGAATCGTGCAAAAAGTTTATACAGCAATGAAAAAATGAGGGTAGGGAGCTCTTGCACCTCTTCTAGCCGTTAGCAAACAAGTTTCGACTGTCAAATGCTAGCAATTACCTAAGCGGCCTATTAATAAACATTGAAAACTTTAAATTGCCACAATGCGAACCGGCAATGACTCAAGCGCATGAGCTCAGCTTTTCGATGCATGAGTCAATGGCCAGGTGAATTCATTTAGCGATTTGCTCTGGCCAATTAACACTACGGTTTTCAAATGCTTGATGCATTTTTGATGCGTATTTTATGCACATTAGGCTCGAGTAACCCTCAACAAATGTGCTGCACTCGGTTGCACAGCGCTCAACGTTGCGTATGCGCAATGCGGCCAAGCCAAGGAGTAAAACTTTAACTTTCTGTTTCTGTTTCTCTTTCAAGTGGTCGGTGTTGGTCGCTTTTCAGTTTTCAGTCTCGCCGCCTACTTTACGCTCGCATTACAAATTAAAATCGTTTATTTTTAATTAGCAAAGAAAGAGCCCCTTCTCCGCGCACAAATTTCACACATAATAGCAAATTGCATTTTGCATTTTATTGCTATGGAAAATGATGCAAATTACACATAAACAAGTGGTTAATAAGTTTTTGGCTCACTTAAATGGCCACTAATTGGCATCGGACTGATTAATGACAGCTACGGTGGTTATTATCGGACGGGAAGTCTTGTGAAAGATGCCATTTAACTTATGCAAATCTGTTGAAAGCACAGCGACAATTTTCATATCAAAGTTTCTACATAGCTAAAGAAAACTAAGCAATGCATTATTATTGACTACATTATTCTTTAAGAGAATTTCTAATCAATATTGAAAAGAAACTCAAGGCAAAACAAAACTCTCGACGCGGAAACTCAATTGACACATCAGATTTTGCAACTGAGTCTAATTCATTGACAATGCGCCAATGCGCCGACAATGAACTCTCGGCACATGCATTTAATGGCTCAAAACAAAACGAGATTTCAACTTTTGGCACTCGTCATGAAAATTATAGCAGACAATGCGACATGCTAATTTTTTGGCTATTTGGTTGCTTTTTGTTTAGTTGGCTTTTTAACAATTGCCAAAGTTTGCTTACGCGTTAAGGTCACAAGTCCGCAGTACCCCTGACCAGTTGACCAGCGGGGTAGGCGTGACCGCTGCTACAGTTGACTGCCCAGTTGCTGCTGCTGCTGGTGCTGCAGGCCCTAAGCAAAGGCAATGCCAAAGGCAGCCGCCATAATAATAACCATCATAATAATAGCACATGATACCAAGCTGATCTTTCCATTGTTGTTATTGCTGTTATAGTTGTTGTTGCTACAGTTGTTGTTGGCGATGGCCAGCGGCTGACTGTAGGATGGCCTTGCAAGAGTAAAACAGTGTCAGCGGCAATTCAATTTGGTCCCAATGTGCAAAATGCGTTACAACACGAAAGAAAAAAAATAAACTCAAACGCGAACACAAAAAATTGAAAGAAAAAACAATAAGAAGAGTCATCAATATGTTTTGTCCAATTCAATTGGCATTCATATCAAATGATGTGCGCTTTTCTTATGGTAAATAATATTCATAAACATCAATATAAAATCCTCAGTCATTTACAACTTTGAGGTCTTACGTACAGCATTGAAACAGCAGCTAATGAGAATTGTTTAGTCTGAAACAGACTGAAAGTTTCTTTGATGCCGACTGGGTGTTGCTTAATTGAAGAGACATGCGAGATTTATGATACAAGATTTATTTACAATTTCTATTTATTTTTGCCCCGTCTCTGCACTTGTATAGAACCCTTATGTTTTCCCCTGTCTCTCTCATTCATTCCGCTCTCTCTCCCTGCCTATTCATATTTGCCACCCTCTACAATATTTTCTATCTCTACTTCAGTCTCCCCCTGTTTGGTCAGTCTGTGTCTATGTCTCCCTCTCAATCTGTTTCCTCTTAGCTCTTTACCCTACATTTATTTCCTTCTCTGTCACAGCACTTTTCAACCTTTCACACCTTAATCGGTTTCTTTATTTGCTATCTTACACCTCTCTTAATAGTCATTCCCCTTGAGTCGAACAATTGCTTTATTTGCAAATCCTTGTTCGAGTCTCTTCCAGACGCATTGCAGCACATTAACCC